CAAAAGCACCTCTGGCTATGTGTTTACATTGAGTGGTGGAGCTGTTGCTTGGGCTTCCAAGAAACAACCGGTAGTAACTCTTTCAAGGAGTATGTAGCAGCTGTGTTTTGTGCCAGTCATTGCATTTGGATGCAGCAGATTCTTAGACAAATGGGAGGTACTCCATCAACTTGTGTTAAGATGTTCTGTGATAACTCGTCCACTATTAAGCTTGCAAAAAATCCAATCCTCCATGGAAAAAGTAAGCATATTGACGTGAGGTTTCACTTTCTGAGGAATCTTACAAAGGATGGAACTATCAGTATGGAATTTTGTGGAACAAGGGAGCAGCATGCAGACATTAGGACTAAACCTTTGAGTTTAGAACAGTTCCAAAAGCTAAGAAGATCCTTGGGAGTTCGAGCAGCTGATGAATAAATCAAAGGTTGAGCACATTTGAGTTAGGGGTGGAATATGTTGGGAGTAATGATGATTTCAAAGTTTGAATTTTTTCTTTGTTTACGGTTAATTATCTCCTTGTTTTTAGCTAGCTTTCTGTTTTATTTGACCTAGTATTTAGCTAGACTTAGTCTATAAAATTACTTTATTTTTCAGCTTTTTCTGTTGTACCGGCTATATATATCTAGCAAAGTCTATTGTTTTATTCATCAAGTACTTTGCAATTTGCACTACCTGCGAACCTGTTTTTTTTACTTTGATCAACAAATAGAAGCCAAAATTTGAAATGTGCAGTGAGGATGTTATGAAAGTTGAATTCTTGTTTGACATTTACAGTAAAATTTCAACATTAATTTAAGGGCGATGCTGTATACATATTTTTAATATCAGAATTAATTCAAATCATGTATTAAGAATATCAAAAGTAAGTTTTGTTATTGTTATGTATGAAGAAAAAATTAGTAGGTAAAAATGTATTTAACAACCACAAGGATGTATTTAGCCCACCACTGATTTATGATCATACCCGCAACAAGCCAACAACCAACATCGCATATTGTTGTTTTCTATAGCTCTGGGGTCCTCAATGTCCTTTTCGATGGATAACTACAATGATGAGTGATTTTTAACATATTTACTGCTGTCTTACTGCACTTAAACGTCATACCATTAATGGATGACACGTCTTTCGGCAGGTTTATAGCCTTTTTCAACAGATAATTTGCTTTTAAAAAAGTAGTTTTCGTTATAAGGTAAATACATAAAGTTGAAGGGGAAAGAATGTCCATATTCGTCCTCATCTTGTTCTTAGTTATCTGTAAATAAATGATATGCTAGTGACTGAAATGACCCATACATATATTCTAATCAAAAGGATTGCAACCCATTTCTTAGCTTTTGTCATAATTATGTGATATTTTTGACACAGATAGATTCATTCATGATCGATGTTTATTTAAAGCATCATTTATGCATGTTTTAGACCTTTCTTCAATACGTATATCATGTAAAATATGGACAACCTCTGTAAGATTAAGAGCAATAAACATCGGACTAAAACCAAAAGCTTCCGAAGCCGACCCCTGAATTGAAATCGTCTTTGTTAAGTAAAAGAATCTGTATCATTCAGACAAGGCCACACATCAATTGGATTTTTTGTTAAGAAAAGGAATTTGTATGGTTGAAACTATGTCTTCTGCAAACGTGGATAGAGAACTAGAGATATTGTGGACCAACCTTTTTCTGTATCCTTTTTTTCTTATATGAAAATTAGATAATTAAATAGCACAGCAAGCGTGAAAGAAGATGAACACGGTGAGATTGAAATAGATTGTTTCACCATTGAACTTCATTTGTGTTTTCACTGTGTAATCCATAAAACCAGAAGGTTTCTTCATCATCAATAGGAAATGGCGGATAAAGAATTCCAAGCTCAAGCAATGGCTTCAAGAAATTATCAGTTGTGCAGTTAATGTTGCCATCGAAATCTTGCAAAAATGGTTCGGTCCAAAAGTCGTCAATTTTTTCTTCAATCACTTGCCTAGAACACGCATCATCTTCCACACCAGAACCCTTGTAGTTTGTGCTTGAAGATGCAGTGTTCGATGACGATAAGGTGGACGATGATGGCTGCCGGCAGGTAAGGATTGGAGTGCTTTCAAGTATGTTCTGAGTAGCTTGGTCCAACACCGAATCGATATTAAACGCTTCGTTCGCCTTCTCTTCCTTACTACAAGTTGTCCTTTTGAAACTGTTTCCAACTGTTGAATTTGATTTGGAAGCAGCTGACCGGTTCTTAAGGGATGAATGCCAGTGGTTTTTAATCTCGTTATCTGTCCTTCCAGGTAGGTGTATTGCAATACTAGACCATCTGCATGCATCATTAATCGATTCAGCAGCGAGTTCTACCAACGAAACCCTATAACAATTTCATATTTTTTTAGCTCATCATACCTATTTCCAAGTGATTGATGCAATTCTAGAATCAGTTTGTCTTCTTCTTTGCTAAAGTTCCCTCTTTTGACATTTGGACGTAAATAGTTTATCCACCGCAGTCTGCAACTCTTGCCACACCTTGATAATCCTAAAATCATTCACAGCACAATCGTGTTAATCAATCAACTTTACGTGCGCCTAAAGTAACTAAAAATAGAAAAATAGGGACACAATTTGAACCTGCATGCTTGGGAAGTTGTCGCCAGTTCCAACAGCCATAAGTAGCAACATAATCTACCAACTTCTTGTCTTCCTCAGGTGTCCATGTTCCCTTCTTCAGCCCATTCTTGTCACAACTTGGAGTTCTCACCATCTCTCTCTCTCTCTCTCTCTCTTTCTCTCTCTTGGGTGATCTTGATTTCTGTCAGTAACGGTGAAGTTTATATGGTCATCAAATAGAGACAGCAGAAAACGTGCAACACGAGAGGAGTAAAAATGGGGGTGATACAGTGTTGGGATTAGAATAAAGATGAAAACGACAAGGAGTTGGGGTCCATCTACGAAAATTCTTTGAAGAAAGACTTTCAAACACTTGTATTTTTGCCCTTTTTTATAACCATCCATATTTATCCCATAAATTTTTCTCCATTTCCCATCACCAGTAGCAACTGTAAGGATTTGAGTGGTACGTGGAACCAACCCACCAAAATACTATATATTTTGGGACGTAGATAACATATAGAATCAAATCCAATCATACATAATTCTCTTTGATATGATATCAAATATATACTTCATTTCTCTCAAAATAAATAAAATTTCTGATCGAACATATATGATTTGTGAAAATATGTATGAAGTTATTAACAAAATCCCCCTATGCACTACAACAAAATCGGTTTTACAGGACACTCTCAAATCTTAAGTGTCCTAATAGACCTCTTTATATGACTTAGTTTATAGGACTAAAACAATAAAGTGTCATATCTAAAGGTATTGTAATAAGTTTATATGACGTTTTTTGACGTTGTAATAAGTTTTTTAGGACACTTTTTATATAATGTGTCCCATTATCAACTTTATAGGACACTTTTGAAAAATTGTCCTATAAACTCAATTTTTTATAAGACATTTGTGTTTTATTATAGGACAGATTTTCAAATAGTGTCCTATAAAGTTGATAATGAGACGTTTTATATTAAAAGTGTCCTAAAAAAATTATTACGACATCAAAAAAGTCATATAAACTTATTACAACACCTTTAGATAGGACACTTTATTTTTTTGGTCCTATAAACTAAGTCCTATAAATAGGTCTATTAGGACATTTTAAATTTGGGAGTGTCCTAAAAAACCGATTTTGTTGTAGTGGTGGCCACGAAGGTTCAAATACGATGATTCCGAGCTACCCGCGAAACGGATGGTTGTCTTAAGATTAGTCGGCTCGTGTATCAAGTTGTATATGTAGGTTAATAATAATAATAATCATAATTCTTTTCATTTTCTTGATTCAAGCTTTATTTTCAAGCATCTAAATGATGAAAATATATCAAATTTGATGGGAATTTCGAGTTACACATGTGTCATGCCCCACATATCTTTGTAAACGTAATGAACGATGACGGATCACCCTTGACGTCAATTAATAGACATAACCAGTCATTATTGCTTCTCCTATTCCCTCCTTTACACGATATAAATGACGTTCTGGTGTGAACACTTCTTGTGGGAACATTACGACATGTGTGTTTTCGTTGTTTTGATAACAATATTTTTGTTGTCATTATGTAAAACCTTGTGAACGCGTTGATGATGTACGCATTTAGTAGTTATCGATGAAAATGATATTACATGAGTCTATTAATTTAGACTAAATTACATTTTCCGTCCTTATGTTTGTTTGAATGATTGGGTCCTTGAATAGAATTTTTATAGACACGTATCCGCTCGTGTTTTTTTCAACAATATCGATCCCTCCTGTCCTAATAATCGTTATGTTAGACCGTTGAGTGACTCCACATAACCGTCTATAATGTAGGGGTATTTTGTCTTCTTACTCTTCGTTTAATTTTTTTAATTATTTATTTGGCTTTTTCTGTTTCCTTTTCCTTTTTCGTTTTCAGATGAAACGGAAAAACAAAACCCATAGACGTTATCAAGAACGTCAACAAAAACCATGAACATAAAGAACATCAACTTCAACCATGAACATCAAGAGCAGAAACAACAAACTTATACAAATTCATTCAAAATAATTACGATAAAGAACTCATGTAATCAACAATCCTAAATCTATCAAAAACTATAAGCAAAAGTTTAAGGCTTTTCCTCATCATTATATGCATCTAGTACAATTGTTTTTGCTCCATGTATAGAGAACCCAACAAAAATTTAAGGTTCTACTTCTTTAGGTGTTTGTGAAAAGGTGAAAGGGTTTGTTGAAATCTTCAAATAGGAACAAGAGAAGGAAAGAGTTAACAAACGATATAGGAGATAGATCAGAACGAGTCAATGTGAGATCTCCTAGCTTCTTCCTTTTGGTTTTGAAGGTGATGAGCCTGGCCCTGTCTTCACCGGAAGACAGTGACCCTGCCATGAAACTTCTATATGATGGAATATGGGAGTCATACGCTCGAGAAAAATAGCTGAAGGTGTTTCACTAGCTTGTGAAGGAGCATCTAGGGATTTAGTACTCACACACAAGTTCAGGGCCTAAATTGTCTCCAAATCGAACCAAAAGGGTGGTGTCTGATTGGTTTGATCTTGGCTCCAACGGTCAAAAGTACCAGGAGGTCCCAGGTTCAAATCCAAGGAGTAATAAAGATCCCCTTGTGGCCACAGAGGTTCAAATGCGGTGACTCCGGGCTATCTGCAAAGCAGGTGGTCGTCCTAGGATTAGTCAGCTCGCATAGCGGGTTAGATATCCAGGTTAATAAAAAAATTGTCTCCAAATCGAGATAACATAAGATTATTGAAACTTTGTTGCATTTATAAAATTTAGTGACTAACATCCCTAAAAAGATTTTTAACGAAAAACAACCCTCTACTTTTATTTTTACAACGAATCGACACATCGTCTTCTAGAGCGTCGTTAATGGTGGGTAGTTTAGTCAATTAGCACTTCCCATCTCTCTACTTTCATTTCTATAAGAGACTTTGTCTCTCCTACTTTCATTTCTATAATGGATTTGGTCTATCTATTTAATCAATAAACACTTGGTTTTTAGACACCAAATATGTCTAAATAATCTAATAAAATACTTTATAAAAAATTATATTTACAAGTTCAACAACGAATTGTCATATTTAGAAACGGTACAACAAGTTTACATGAAATTATTGGATGTTTTAGTAAAGTTTTTATAAGATATTAATTAAAATAAGATGTCATATTAGATATTTTAAATGACATTTTTGAGATTTGTCGTATGAACACATATTTTTATGCGACCACACATAAAAACTTTTATGACATTTTCTATAATAAGTACACTAAAAAATTTGTTGAAACGTGTAAAAACGTCCTATAAACTCATTGTATCATTTTTAGATAAATTAATTTAATGTTTTATCATGTAAACTTTAATTCCTGTAAATCAATCTATTCGAACACTTGAATATTTTTTATGTTCTATAGACCCATTTTTACTGTTTATTGTTTGATATTAATTTCTATCTATTTACTAATTATTTTAGTTAGGGGAACTCCACGTAAACCTATACATCTTATGGTTTAAATGCTTATTATAATATTTTAACTGTTTGTATAGAAAGTATTAATATATATATATATATATATATATATATATAGGATTTGGTTCAATTATAAATCAATTTTAGTAATGTATAAATCTGGATTATTGATCAAAACTAAGAATATTAATCAAATGTCAAAACGCAAAATAGTTAATTAAAGAGTTATAATTAGGGATAAAAATGGAATCTTGAATCACATGACGTCTAACTATTTGATCTTTTTTCTATTTTAATAATTCTTTTACCCCTTTAATTTTTAAGATAAATTATCTTAAACATTATTAATATTTTAATCAAACAAATTACGTCAAAAAATAAGCATTTCATTCTCTATGCCATTCATTTTTATATAAATACCTATTTCATTTTAACCATTTTTTACATGATATGTTATAATCTTGGTTTACTTAGTCTTATTAAATATGAAAGTGTAGGGATTTTAAAGTTTTAGTTAGTCCATAGTTGAGGGTGTAGTTTTGAAAGTTGATATATATATATATATATATATATATATATATATATATATATATATATATATACAGAGAGAGAGAGATTGGTTCAAATGTTAACCAAGATTATTGTGTTAACTTTGTTAACCAAGCTCAACCAATGAAAATCCATCTTTTATCTAGGTTCATATACATCTCATAATTTAATGACAAGGGTAAATATGTAATTAGTTTGTATCTAACTCCCATATCATTAATTGGGAGTTACAAAATCAAAAAATCTCATAATTGTTGTTGATTTACTATTGATCTTGTTTTTCTATAATATTGATTTATCTATTTATAATGTTCTTGAATTTGTGATTGTTAAAGAAGACCTGATAGTAAAGTTTTTGATATCGTTCAAACTAATATGGATAAACCATTGGAAAACAACTCGACAACAATGGGAAGGTTAAAATGGTTTACGATGACAATCGGACTTCGAGTTCCAGAAGGGAAGACAATAATTAAAGTGTTTGTATTGGTAATGGATTAATATGTTATTGTATTCGTTTTAATCGAAATTATGTTGATTATGACGTTTTTGTGTTTTTTTATAGTTCATAGTGTTGGTAGCTTTTTCTTTAATTATTACTATGAGCCCAATTCATATGTTCAAATGAAATGAGTTCATCGTCAACTTAATTTGTTTTGCAATCCAATTCTGATAACCATTCGGCTCCATCAGCTGCTTGTGATGTTTGACCTACCATAGACTGCAACTAGTGTTCATATACGTTCAGGTGTGTTCATATACGTTCAGGTGTGCTCATATACGTTCAGGTTTGTTCATGTATGTTCTAGTAGGGTGTGTTTGGTACGTTGGACAGGGTGGGACAGGACATGACAGAACACATTTGTCCTACGTTTGGTGTGGCTTAATGTGGAACTAAGTAGAACTAGGTAGGACAAGAATGGGACACGCTTGTTCTCCTTTACCACCCTAAAACTAAGTGGAACACAACTTTTTTTACCACACTACCCTTTCCCCACCCGGCTCATCGCATGAAGACCTAACCCCCCCTTTCCATCCACCTCCATCGCTTCCTTCAACTCCATCGGCGGCAACTCCATCGGCGACTTCTAATCGCCGACTTCTAATCGACTTCCAATCGGCGCTTCTCCTCTCTCCATACTCAGGTACGCGACTTCCAGGTACGTGACTTCTAATCGCCGACTTCTCATCCCGATTTCAATCAACTATTTCAATTGACTGTTTCAAGCGACTTCCAATCGACTTCCTTGTTATTTCGTGCGTAATCAGTTGTTTCAATCGGTTGTTTC